CTGGGGCCGGTCCACACCTTCTGGCAGTCGAGGGAGCTCTCCGCGGAAGCCATGGCGGGCGCCACCACGAGGAGCGCCAGCAGTGCCGCCGCCACAAGCGCCGTTGCTTTGCCGGAAACCATTTCTCGGTCTTGTTTTTTGCCTTCGCGCGACGTGACTCTGGCGTGTCTTGGGCGGGGGGCAGAGGGGGCGAAAACAAAAAAGAAGAGGAAGGGGAAAAGCGTGGGCAGTCAAGCTGTGCGATACGAGGCACCGGGCGGCATCGCTCAACCCGCGCGCGGCGGCCACACCATGCGGCGGCCACACCCAGCACGCTGCGCATCAGCAGTACTCCTCCGCAAGGAGAAACTCCGTCAGCCGCACGTACACGTCCCGCTGCGCGCTGCTCAGGCGGCGCACTTCCAGGTCCGCGTCGCACGCCTCACGGCCGTAACGCCTCAATCGCCTCCACAGCTGCAGGAGGGAGCCATATTTGCACGCAAGTCGTGTTGCCAGCCCGGAGGAGCATCCGCGAACACACATAAGCATACGGGGAAAGGTGGTGCGCGCGCGTAGTGCTCGCTTTATCCTTGCGGCCACGCTGATGCAAGCCGTAAAGTCGGCCAGCTGCGGCCGTCGTGCGTCACCCCCCGCGGCTTTTGCCAGCGCCGTAACGTAGGCGGCACCGAGGGAGTGCAACCAAGATACGGTGTCCTTTAGGTGGCGTGTGCGGATCACACGGAAGCGTGACACCACCGCAAGCGAGGCGCACGCCGACAAGACCCGACGCCGTTCATCGGGGCGCAGCTGTTCTGTGCTCCCCTCCACCACCCACACCACCGACCGAAACGGCGAGGCAGAAAGTAGCCGCCGCTGCTCATAGTAGCGCGGTGTCGCAATGCTTGCACAGAGATCCTTTACTGTTTTGCGCTCCACCACAACGGGGAAGAGGTTCCGCGCAGGGGCATCCTCCCCCTCAACTGCAGCTGCGGCTGGGTGGATGGCGCCGGGGTTGCTCATCTCTTGCGCGGTTGGGTGGGTGCCGTGGCTCCCACAAGCTCCGCCGGGCACGTCGATTCCAAGCAGGAAGTCGCCGCACGGAAGCGTGCAGGACGCGGCGGGAACACCGGCCGTCGCGAAGGCCTTCATCACGTTCTCATGGGCCCCGTGGATGCGCTCTCGGTTGTCGACAAGAACCCGCCACTGCCACTGAACGGCTGTTTCCCCCGAAGCGAGGGGAGCCAGAGGCCCACCACCGCCGGTCTCCCGCCTCGCCTCGTGCATTAGCGCGGCAACGAACTCTTGGGGGGTGCCCACGAGCCTGCGTGCCTGCAGCTGCCCCCCGGAGGGCGAGGGCGATGGCGGCTGGCGGCCGGCAGATGGCGATCGGAACGGCGTTCGCAGCCGCTGCGAGTGCCCGAGCTGCTCCTCGTGCGTCGATGTGAATCGCCTGGGCGGCGCGCCGCCAGCCCCCCCGCCCTCCACCGGCTGCTGTGGCTGCACCCCGCCGACCCGCTCCGGCTGTGCCGGCGGCCCTGCCCGCTGCGCAACGTCGTGCCGGCGCAGCCGGGCGAGGAGGACCTTCTTTGTGCCGGCTGTGAGGAGGCCGAGGGAGGCGCACCTCGACCGTGCCTCCCTCAGGCCGAGCTGCTGCACCATCGGCTGGGCGCCGGCGCCGCGGCGAGTGACCGGCGGCGACAAGCAACCCGTGCGAAGTTCCCCGCCAGGCGGGCACGACGGGCCCAGCAGCGTGAAAAGAAAGTCGCTGTCGTCCGCGCGGAGAGCGCTGCCGTCGGCGCTCCCGCCTCGCCGCAGCGGCCACGGCAGCGACGCACCGCCCTCCAGGCGCCGCAGCTTAAGGCAGCGGAACGGCGAGGGGACTGCCGCCGTGCGGTCATTGCCCCCTGACGGACCGGGCGGGGGCGATGTCACGTCCACTTCAGTGCCACCGCACGCGGGTGCTTGGCGGCGCTGCTGCGGTGCGCAGCAGTACGCGTCGACCGCCCTCACGGCATCCGCAGAGCCGCCACGCAGCACCGTGGCTGCCGCGCCGCTTGTGACCGGCAGCGGGTAGCGTCGCAGGGCGGCGCAGAATTCTGCGAAGCGCCCTGGCGACGCACGCTCCATGTGGCGAGCCAGCCGCTCGTTGTGCGTCAGGCAGCGGTCGGACATGACACATGCGGCCCCAACCCTGCCACCTTCCCCTGCCTCTGCTGCTAGCCACGTGTGCAGGTAAAAAAGAAAAAGGGAGGAAAAAAAAAGGGCCGAGGAAGATGGCAGGGGCCGACGCCGCACGTAGATGCAGCGCGCAGAAGAAAGACGGGGAGGAAAGGGGTAGGAGTGGGGCTTCTGGTTCTTGTGGCCTGCAGATTTACTTCTTCGTTTTTTCGATGTGCTCCTGCGGTGCCGCACATTTAAGTGCGTGCGCCCCTCCGGACCTCCGCTTTCCTCTCGCCCTCGCCCCCACACGCGCAGGGAGACACATTTACAAATTACTTGCCTCCCGCCCTCTCGCTGTGCATTGCACCCACGGCAGAAGAAAGAAGCACTCCTGCCGCAGACTCACGCTCGACGACGTTGGCGAAATACAGGCGGAAAAGAGAAGAGAAAAGAAAGAAACTAAGGTTAATTCTTGGCTCGCTTGGTTTACCTTTTATCCCTTGCTTACACCCGCTCCCCCTTGACGCCGTCCTTCCAGTAGTAGAAGTAGGGCACCTCGCCGTCCCACTTGCAGAGCACAATCATGCCGTTGTCGGGGTCCTCCTCGTTGCCCTCGGGGATGAAGAACTGGTACTCGTCAATCTCCTTGATCACCTTCTTCACAAATGCCGCGGCGCCGCTCTGGAACTTCTTCTTCTCCTCCTCACTCTCAATCTTCTCCAGGAGCCGCTTCATGTAGCTACGGATGTGCGCCATGTACGAGTTCTTGTCGTAGCTTGTCTCGGTGTAGCGGTTGTTGAAGACCACATCAACGACCTGCTTTTTGGAGTCGTCGACGTCGCCCGTCGCGCCCTCGCCGGCGTCCTCGTCCACGTTGGCGGAGATGCCGTAGTCCTCGCCGCCCACCTCAATGTAGCTGCCCTTCAGGACGTACACAACGTCGCCCTCGACCTCCACGGGCCTGTCGTTGTCGCAGAAGACCTCGGCGTTTGTCAGGACATCCTTGAAGATCCTCATCTGTGGGCTTTTTCCTCGGGTGTGCCTTGCGTGTGTGTGTGTGTGTGGAGTGCGCCTTCGCTTTGGAGCTGGGAGAGTATGCTTGGGGGCGCAACAGGGCAAGGCAAGAGAAACGCACGCTAAGGCAAAAACACAGA